GATATCGACAAAAAAACCCTGTACTTTTTTTTTATTACTAAAAAAATCTTATACTTATATTTATCCTTCAAAATATACATGTACTCTTCACATGTCAGACAAAAAAAACCATGTGCTTTTTTTATTACCAAACAAATCTTATACTTATACTTATTCACCGAAATATACTTGTATTTTATAAATTCTAACACATAATCCCCTAAACGCAAATACAAAAAAAATACGGTAAAAAATCTGTCCGAACCTAACCCAACCGATATATACCCGAACCAAATCGAACCGATTAAAATAATATACCAGGTTGGATATGAATATTTCAAATCCAAAATAATCGAACCCGAAATAACCGAATCCGAAATAACTGTAAAACTAATAAACCAAACTCGAATTAACTATAACTGAATCTAATCATTTATCTACCTATATATCATCAATTAATATCCAATATATTCTAAATTTAATTAGAAAAATTAATATAATGATATTGTTTTATAAGTATAGATCATTGATTTATATCGGTCGGATTCGGTTCGGTTATTTTGGATTTGAAAAATTCATATCCAATATAGTATATTATTTTAATCAGTCCTATTCGGTTCGAGTATATATCGGTTAGGTTATGTTCGGATAGATTTTTTACCGTATTTTTTTTGGTGTTTGCATTTAGGAACTTATTTTCTAGAATTTATAAAGTACAGGTATATTTCGGCGAATAAGTATAAGTATAGGGTTTGTTTGGTAATAAAAAATATAAGGTTTTTTTGTCTGACATCTGAAGAGTATGGGTATATTTCAGTGAATAAGTATAAATATAGATTTTTTTATAATAAAAAATATAGAGTTTTTTTGTCGATATCTGAAGAGTACAGGTTTTTTGGACAATTTTCCCAGAAAATAATAAATATACTTAAATAATAACGAAAAGAATGTTGGAACATAAACTTGTTCAAATAATTAAGTACTTAGACTATATTTATTAGTAGTTCTAGAATGATCTATGGTGTAGCAAATATATGGGTTGTTTGAAGTTTGTAGAAACGCAACAAAAACACAAGAAATAAAAATACAAAGAAGTGTTTAAGAGAATTTTTCCTCCTCTCTTCTCATATTCATATACTTAGAAAGTATAAAGAAAAAAGCCTAATCATTTAAAAGTGATATCAGAGCCGGGATAATCATGGCGTCGACGAGCTCGATCCAATCACAAGTTCTGAAACTTAGGAAGGACAACTATCGTATGTGGAATATTCAAATGGAGGCTCTTCTAGGGTCCCTTGACGTATGGGACATGGTGGAGAACGATTATGACGAGACGGAGATGAAGAAGGAGAAAGACGAGGAGAAACTCAAAGATCCCCGAAAGAGGGAGAAGAAGGCGTTGTTTACAATTTTATCAAGGATTTGTTGAAGCAACATTCGAACTTATTGCCTCGGCAACAACATCCAAAGAAGCTTGGAAAATTTTTAAGAAATCATTTGAAGGAGTTGATAAGGTGAAGAAGATTCGGTTGCAATCTCTTCACGACCGCAATTCGAAAGTCTACAACAAGGGAGTTCCGAGTCGATCTCGGATTACATTTCACGGGTAATCACCATCGTTCACCAAATGGCGACAAATGGCGAGACGTTGAAGGATGTTTGAGTCGTGAAATTTTTTTTGAGGTCTCTTGACTCAAAATTTGATTTTATGACCGTCGTGATTGAAGAATCGAAAGATTTAGATACGATGATGGTGCAAGAACTTTTTGGTTCTTTGAAAGCATTTAAAGACAGACTGAATCATAGAAAAGAAGAAGAAAAGTCCGTTGAGCATGCGCTGGAGGCGAAGCTCTCTCTTAAGACTGAAAATTCACGAGGAGGTTGTCAAAATCAAAGAGAAAAAGGTAGTTATTATGGACGAGGTGGTCATGGGCCACACTATCGAGAGTCGACTAACAGTCGGGATGATGATGGGAAAAATGGTATAAATGAGTATGACCATGGCAGAAGAGGTGGCTGAGGCCGAAGTTGGAACCGAGACCGTGGTCGTAGTTTTGGAAGAAACTATGAGGAAGGTATGATAAATCTTTGATTCAATGTCATATTTACAAGAAATTTGGTCATTATTCCTACGAATGTTGGCATAATCCCAATAATGATGGTAGAGAGAAATTCAATATAGTTGACAAAGAAGGCAGAGATATAAAAGAAGTGTTGATGTTATCACGAAATGAGGTCGAGCCAAACAGTGAGTCGGAATCATGTACATGGTATCTTGATACGAGAGCATCCAACCATATGTGCGGGAGAAAGGAGTTGTTCATGAAGCTTGTCGAAAGGAACTTTGGTTTGGTGGTCTTTCAAAGAGACCGATTGAGGGGAAAGGTGATGTCACATTGACCTTCCCAAACAAGAAGTAGGTTGCATCTCGAATGTCTATTATGTTTCCGATATTAAAAGCAATTTGTTGAGTGTGGGTCAGTTGTTGGAGAAAGATTGACGTAAGGTTGAAGAATATGTCTCTAACTACGTGAGATAAATATGGCCAATTGACTATAACCGCGGAGATGACGAAGAATCAGATGTTTTCGTTGAGACTGAGCTTTAATGAGTCAAGGTGCTTGAAGGTAACGATTCTAGATAATTCAACTTTGTGGCATCTTCGATATGAGCATCTAAACTTCAAAGTATTATAATTGCTTCAGAAAAAAGATATGGTGATCGGACTATCGAAAATTGTAGCTTCTAACAATCTGTGTGAAGTTTGTGTTATGGGAAAGCATCAAATGAAGTCGTTTCCGACGTATAAGTGGAGCGCAACATGTCCTCTTGAGCTGGTGCATTCGGATGTTTGTGGACCCATCAATCCCATATCGAATGAAGGTAATCGATATTTTTTGACATTTACTGATGATTACTGTGCAAAGACATGGGTCTATATACTCAAGGAGAAAAAAAGAAGTTTTTACCAAATTCAAAGATTTCAAGAGTATAGTGGAAAGACAAAATAGATGTCCAATAAGGTATCTGTGGAGTCCGGACTGATCATGGAGGAGAGTATACATCAAACGATTTTAAGAATTTTTGCAAGGAACATAGAATTTCTCATCAATTCACTATGCCTCAAACACCACAACAGAACGGAGTTTCGGAGAAAAAGAACAGGACTATACTGAATATGGTATGATACATGTTGAACGAGAGAAAAGTCTCGAAGGAGTTCTGGGGAGATTCTGTAGCATGTGTTGTGTATTTGTTGAACATAGAATTTCTCATCAATTCACTATGCCTCAAACACCACAACAGAACGGAGTTTCGGAGAAAAAGAACAGGACTATACTGAATATGGTATGATACATGCTGAACGAGAGAAAAGTCTCGAAGGAGTTCTGGGGAGATTCTGTAGCATGTGTTGTGTATTTGTTGAACATATTTCTATTGAAGAAAATCAAAGACATGACACCGGAGGAAGCTTGGAACTTACGAAAGCTGAAGGTCGATCATCTCAGAATCTTCGGGTGTGTGGCTTATGCGAAAGTGTAGGAAGAAAGACGAACAAAGTTTGAGGATAAAGGTCAGAAATGCATATTTTTGGACTATGATGAAACTTGCAGGGGATACAAGTTGTATAATCCTGAAACTCGCAAAATCATAATGTCTCGAGATGTTGAGTGTAACAACCCGAGGCCGCTACGAATTGTCGAAACTGCCCTCACACAGCAACCGAGACCTTTCAGCATGTTTTATCCTCACTCGCACGTATACCGAGATACTTCCCAGTAGGTCACCCATCCTGAGATTGCTCCACAGTCAGCATGCTTAACTTTGGAGTTCTCTCGGGATGGTTGGTGCACCTTGTTGCTATTAGTAGCCCAACTAATTCTTTTATGTTATCTTAGACCGTATAGTCCCATACCTATACAGCCATCGGATCTCTTTCATTCCGGTGTATTCGATTCATCTCTGTACCCCCTACCTAGAAGCTCCGAGACACTTCCCAGTAGGTCACCCATCCTGAGATTGCTCGACAGTCAGCACGCTTAACTTTGGAGTTCTCTCGGGATAGTCAACCAAAAAGGTAGGTGTACCTTGTTGCTATGAGTGGCCTAACTAATTCTTTTATGTTATCTTAGACCGTATAGTCTCATACCTATACAGCCCTCGGATCTCTCTCATTCCGGTATATTCGATTCATCCCTGTACCCCCTACCAAGAAGCTCGTCAGGAGCCACCCCTTGTCTGTGCCTCTGCATCGGCGATCACTCTCCGCCCTCCTACGGTACTCTGGGTTGTCACATTGAGTTTGATGAGGAGAAGAGTTGGGATTAGAATGGTAGCAGTCAATCGCAGAGGATCAGTCTCGAAGGAGTTAAAGAAAATTTACCATCCCGAGTTATCCAGAACCGTTATGATAGCGGCGATTCTAGTAGCTTACTTGTGAGAAATATAAAGAGCATTCAGGAGATTTATGATATAACTCAACCGATAGAATCCATGTTTGATAATGAGTTTACTAATTTCTGTCTATATGTTGGATTTGAAGAAGTTAACATGAAGAAGTGGATCAAAGTGAAGGATAAGTTGAAACCCTTTCGGAAGCAACTCGAAGTCAAAGCTCGAGGAGGAACAAGTTTAAGGGAGAGTACTCGGAGTATAAACTTGTTCCTAATATTTTGTGTTCTAGAAAAATGTGTTCAAAGGGCATAGAATTATGTGTTCAAATAATTAAGTACTTAACCTATATTTATTAGTAGTTCTAAAATTATCTATGGTGTATTATATATATGGATTGTTTGACGTTTGTAGAAACACAACAAAAACACAATAAATAAAAATACAAAAAAGTGTTTAAGAGTATTTTTCCTCCTGTCTGCTTATATTTATATACTTAAGTGTAAAGAAAAAAGGCTAAACGATTTACAAAGAAGCCATAGAAAATTAAGAAGCAAAATAAGATAAGTTTAAAAAAAAAAAAGAAAATACGAAAGGGAGAAAATAAAGTTGAAGAAGGAAATTTTAAATTGACCAAATCTTCAATCGGATGAAGCTCAGAGGCGGTGAGGCGGTGATCGTAACGTAACCTTCCATTTGAATTCCAAGCAATCTCAGCCGTCGGATCAAACATATACGACCGTTAGAGAATCCGCTCCTCTTCCAAGAGAACAAAACCACAAGAAGAAAAGGCTGAAAGAAAGTTCAATCCAAACACACACACACATATTATCTCTTTAACAATGGCGATGTTCAGATCTAGTCTGAAACCACCGCTTCCCAAATCGCCGATTCATCTTCGATCGCGTCAGATTCACCGATCAATTTTGTCTTCTCTCCGATCTCCGCCAGGTATTTGTGCTCCTCCGTCTAAGCTTGGTTCCTCGATTCCGTGGATTTGATTTCTCCCTCGTTTATTTTCCGGAAACCGTTTTCTTCTTCCTTGGAAGGTTCCCTGACGAAATCGCAGAAGCCGGAGCAAAGGCCGGAGATTTCGTGCGAGCTACGGGCGTTGGCGAAGATGGTGGAAGGTGAGATCGGGGACGAGGGCAAACCCAAAACTGCGAATTTCGGCGGTTTGGTGACGACTTCGGTTCATGCGTTCGAGAGGGGGAGGTTCTACGAGGAGTATTCGGCGAGGAGGAACGAGCGGTTGAAGAGGAAGAAAGGGGAGGCGGAGGCGGCGGCGGCGGCCGAGGAAGTGAAAACGACGCCGTACAATCTCAGAGCCATGCGCGAGCCAGCGACCACAAAGAGAAGAGGAACGGCTAAGAAGCAACAACTGGAGAGCCTGAAGAAGACTGTATCGACTGCATACACAGAGACGCCGAGGTATATGCTGAGGAGCTTGAGCAAGGAGAACAAGAAACCGCCATTGCCGGTGAATATCGAGAGGTCGGTGATGAAAAACGTTACCACTCGAAGGGTTCGAAGAATCTGAGAAAACCTAGAGAGATGTGAAAGACAATTGATGTGTTGCCTTTTGGTCTCTGGTTGATCTTTAGGCGGAAAAGAGATGAACTTTGGAGAGACTTTGATTTTGATTTCACAGCGTTATGTTCTGTCTGATGGATTTGTTTCATGTTCATCCATGAAAGGTTTCGTATCATGTCATATATACGAGATGACGATACACACTATCCATTCCTGGTATCGAAATGGGGAAATCGTCATAAAAACTATGTACTTTTCTCAAGTCAACGAAAAAACCCTGTACTTTTTTGCTTACCAATTAAACCCTATATTTGGTATGATTAACCAATAAAACTCCAAACTTGTTAATAATTCACCGAAAACCTCCTGCGTCTACCAACTCAAATAAAAATGATGATGTGACAATGACTTGGCTTCCAAATTATATACACATCATCAAAATTATGACACATCATCATTTTACATAAAAATAAATAACATAATTTATTTAAATTAATTTATATACATATAAATTCATATATATATATATATATATATTAAATATATATTAAATATTAAATTACTTATAACTAATAAAACACACATATATATATATATATTATTTATAATTATAATTACTTTTATTTTAATATACATATTAGTTATATATATATGTTACATGTATAACTAATATATATACATATACATATTATTTTTAATAGATACATTATATGTGTATGTGTTAGTTACAATTATTTTTGTTGTAATATGTATATGTATTAGTTATACTATACAATATATATATATATGTATATTGTAGTTATGTGTGTAATATATTGTAGTTATACATATAACATATGCATATATAAAGATCG